ACCATAATTTATAATATGACATCGTAACTATTTATTTTCTAGAACTTAGTGCTAAATTAATCTTTTGAAAATTTAAAATATTTTTAATCGAAAAGATGCAAATTCGCTAGCTATACTAAACATTTGTGATTATTTTCATTATAAATTGTAATTATTTTCATTATAAAATTTCTTCTAGTTGTGTTTATTTGTGACTTTCATTTTAAAAATTATTATTTTTTATTCTCATTTTTTGGTTAAAGCTTGTTTCACAGACGATTTCATTAATTTTAGATAAATAATAACCGTATGTGCTTTTCTTGAGCATATGAATTTTTCGTTTTTTTTGTTGAACGCATTTACTTTAATAATCATGAAAGAAGTATACACTTCTTTCTATATTTATGTACAAGTTTCGCTATACATGTATGTATCCTCTAATAGTTGTGAAAACTTAATAGTAAAATATTCTAAGTCTTATTGTGGTAACATCCTCTTCAGTGACAAAATTTTGATTTTTAATAAATCTCTGAACTTAGAATAAAACATAGTTTCAATGTAAACAATATATTTCGGCCATTATCATGTCCATAAAGTTCACTTATTATTAATAATCTGTCGTAAGAAAATTCTTCTGCGAATTTCCTAAACGGTGCCATTTTTTATAATTCCATTTTAATTCCTATGCCAGTATACTTTGAATAATCAAAATTGAATACCTCAAACGTCCAAATATCATGTGCAAGAAAAAGTTTACTCATTCTTGATTATAAATTTACTGTATCACTGCCACGTGTCAAAAATTATTATGCTTTATTGTAATAACGTTCCAGTTATCACGTTTAGCTACATTTACATTTATAATGTGTACAAGTATACATACAATAGTTATTTCGTATAATCAAAGATAAAAATGCAAAAGATAGAAAAAGGTATAAATAAATAGGACCACAGATTGATTGCCAAATTGAAGTTTCGCAAAGAATTCATAAAAAGAACTTTGATTCATTATTTTCCCTCTTTCTAGAGACGAATACATTTTTTTATTAAACATCATACATATATTTTAAAAAAATTCTCAAAGCAATGCATTACTTACTGTACTCTTAGATTGCTATTTTCCCTTTTAAAACGACCAACTAAAGATATTTAAAAAGATAAACATAAAACATAAAGTAATAATAATGATTCAACCGTCAACTATTATTACTAGTGCCGGGGGAATACGACGGCGTGTAAACCAACATGGTGCTATACAGAGGCGAGCTGTTCAGCAATTGGTATTATTTTTGCAGCTTCCCGAACAATCAGAAGAATTGATACCTATACCACAAGATTCTTTGCAAGATCATAATGCATCTGAGATCTCAAGCACACGTGATTCAGCATCAGAAGATGAATTATTACTTGACGTGGAATATAAATAGAGTTTCTTTAACGATCTTACCAAAACCCAAAAATCAAGAATTAATGAAATCATTAACGAATCAAGAAAAGTAGGTCATTTCGCAGATGGGTCCGACAATCATCGAGGAGAAAGATTTAGATGCTTTACAACAAAACGATATATTAATGGAGAAGTGAGTTTTTTGTTAATATTTTATTAATTGCGAATTAGTTACCAAGTTGTATTTTACAAAACAGATTATCAGCATGTATGCGAGACTTTTAAATGCTCGTGTGCTAGAACGACGTTCTTCCAGGGATGTAAATCAACAAGATGTGTTTGACTAATACACATTTTTATACATTGGTTGAGAAAGCGAAGGAGAGCGGAAACTTCAAAAACAGGAAATATGGCTCAGTAATAACAATGTAATTATTTTGGTCAACATGTGCTTGCTTTATAACAATTATTCCATTTACATAACAAATTCATTCATGTATTTGTGAAATATAGGTACCAGATCTATTCGAAAAAGGCAAACTCTTAGTGCATTATACCGGTATCCATTGGGTATGTGCCATGGTCAATTTAAATGAAAAAACAATTAGTGTGTACGACTTCTTATTTGAAAGTGGTGTAACTCCATCCATTGGACAAGTTAAATTAGTTCGTTTCTTTCATTAAAAATTCGAAGAATTAAACTGATTTATCTGCTGTGATTTCAGAATCTCTTGGAAAGGAGTAAACTTTTCAGAGATCTTTGAATTTGATGATGAATTACTTGATCATTCATAAGTATTAACCAATAATTAATGTAATACTAAAGAAAACAGAGTATGTGATATAATATATTACTTTCTCTTATCAATTGAAGCTGGATCTCACTATTATTAGAAAATTAGGAAAATATATCTTCATAAAAAGAATTCTAAATAAGTAACAATATATCTTGGTTGCACTCAAAGAATAGATCAAAAGTTTACATATTCAGATAGTCAATTAGCAAAAAGAATAAGTAAAGCAAGATCTCTGATTAACTGATATGTATGTAAGGCAAGATTATAATTAACATTCATATTAATATATATTATGCAAAAGTAATAATCTATCATCAAATAACTTATAAATATCCTATCTATTATGAAAGCAGAATTTCTAAATGAGCTATAAAGTGGATATCTAATAATTTAAGATATAATTTTTAAAAAGTCAAAGTTTATAAAATACTCTATGAAGAATAATATATTGATTTAAAAATACATACAGGGGGTGAAAAAAAGTATTGGACACTTGATATCCAATAAAAATATATCTGTAACATTACATTCCTTGCCAATTCTAGTAATTGTTTTTTATTATATGAAAATGTGATTTGTTGTGATCATAAATCATTACTATATGTAAGTTTTTTAATAAGTCTGTGAGTTACAAAGTCATATACAATCTACTATTATATAAATCATCTTGTGAAATTTACTATATATTGATATGTCATGAAAAAGAATTAATGGAGAGGCAAAAAGGAAATATTATTACAGCAAATAAACTTGGATATATATATAGTGAGATTTCTAGAGTCATAGATTATTCTCATTCTTTAGTATTATGAGTATTGGTAATATATGAGTCCCAAGAATCTTTTAAACAAAAAACAGATCATTCACAAATTCTTAATAAATCTGAATGCAAAAAACTCAAGTTTTTAATAATTAAAAACAAAAATACATACTAACAAACTTTTTCTCAAATAAATTTAAACTTTATAAATAATAATATAAATATTTCTATATAAACTATTTGTAAAGAATTAGCTAAGAAAAATATTCACTCTCATATTCAATGTTATAAGCCACTAATTTCTAAAATCAATAAAATTAAATATTTATCTTGGGCAATTTCTTATAAATACTGGATAGTAAAAGATTTTAAAAATATTATTTGGTCAGATAAGTCTACTATACATAATTTTGAACTTCAGATTTTGGATATATTTTCTGGGAATCTTTAGAGGAGTTTCATGAAGATTGTATTATAGCTATAATTAGATATAGTATAGATTACATATTTTGGAGATGTTTTTCTTGAATTAATTTGGATTTGCTAGTTCTATTAGTTGGTCATGTCACTATTACTATATATTATGAAATTCTTAGAAATTATACTATTTTTATGGTTAAGATACATGCCAGAAAAATTAAAAAAAATTCTCTTTCAAGAGAATAATGTACCTGTTTATACCATGAAAATTGCATATTTCTTTCTCACCTTCTCAAATATAGCACTGCTTTCCTGACCAGTCCAAAATTCCAATTTTAATCTTATTGAGAATATTTAGTTATTTATTGAGATTAAGATTCATCAACATGATATATAATCCTCAAGTATTATGCAATTGAAAAGATGAGTTAAAGAGGAATGGGATGTAATACTGGAGAATTATTATTGAAATTTAATTAAATCTGCTATAGAATTATTACAATGAATAAAGATCAAACAAAATATTAGCTTATATTTTGTTTTTCTAATAAATAAATAAAATTTTTGAAAATGGTTGTCTTGTAAAATGATTTACAAAAATATCTAATACTTTTTTTTACTCTCTGTACTTATTATCAAATCTATTATTAGATATCAAAATTTGCTTCTTAGCAATATATTATGAATATATCAAATTAATTTCTATTATCTTTAAACTTTTTAAAGCAATCTGAACTGATTGATAAAAAATATAAAGTTTTGCTATATCTTGAAAATAATTTTATATGAGTACTTAGATTTCTTATACTATTTAATTCCTATATATTAAGAAATAATATTAATAAACTTATTATAAATTCAATATACAAAATAAACTAGAAGAAATTTAAGCTCTTTGCTATATTAATCAATTATGATGAATATAATATTTTTCTTAAATATCTATATATTAATACTTTTATTATTCTTGCAAACTGTTTTCAAGATTCTAGAAATAGAATTAACTCAAGAGTAAAAGATCTTACATAATTCTTAGTATTAAGAACTGAGAGTATCTTATTAATATTTATTCTTATAAATAAGAATGTGAGCTAAATTACAATAATAAATAAGACTTGATTACAAAAAGCAAATATTTAATTTTATTTATAATATATTAAATAAGCAATTGATTATAAATTAAAAGAAAATAAATATAAATTAAGTTAGTATATAATATAGAGAGTAAATAAAGCTAATATATAATTCAATTTTATTAATATATCATGAATATCTAAATAATATAAATATGTAATATGATGACAAATAAAGCATTATCTAGTTGCAACTAATTACAACTTATAAAACTTTGGAGTTGCAATGTATTGTAATAGGTGATAAATAAGCATCACATACTTACTGCATTATCTTTAGTTTTGATAGCTAGATTATAATAATAAACTTGAAATACTTTGTATAAATAAATAATATAATTATATATAAATATTTATAATATTAATAATAATATAACTATACTAATATTATATCTTTTTATTAATTTTATATTCAATATCATTAATAAATTTATTCTCATATTTTTCATATAATTATCTATATAAGAGTTCTGTAAAATAATATGAAATTATTTTGAATGAAGATTATATATAATTTAAATATATATATTTGATTGAGATAAGTATGATTTTGTATTATTAATATATTATTCAATAAGAGTTAAGACTGATAAGAAAAAAATTATGTAATTATTTGCAAAGATATATCATTATTAAGTTACTAAACCTATATATTAAAAAGATTAATTAAGAAATTTAAGAAATACTTCTTTAAATTAAATATAAGATAATAAATAGTTATAACATTATAATAATAAAATTTATACAAAATTATATATCTTACATATAATAAAGAAATTAGATCTTATATACCAAATATTTTTATAACTAATTAGAATTTTATTTTATAAAATAATTAAATATGAATATAAGATTTATTAAAATTAATAATTTACTTATTTAGTATTAAAGAAAGTATTTAGATAGATAATATTTTAAAAAATAATTGATGATAAAATAAAATTACAAAAGTATTATGTATATATAAATCTATCTGAATATAGTTTGGTCAATCAAATTTTTATTTTTAATATTATATTAATATTATTTATTAATTATTATCAAATATTTAATTTTTTATACTTAATTATTATATTTTAATGATATAAACTAATAATTTATTTATTTTCTTAACTTTAATTTAATAGTAATATTACAGTATATATAGCTAATTATATATATTATAAACTAATAAATTATGAAATATTATTTTTATAAAAATAGTAATAAATTATATTTATATATATAAATATCATATATATAATTTTTATTGTTATATATAATATAAATTAATATTATATAATAAAATATCTGATATAATAAATATTAATTAATCAAATATCAAAATAAAAAATTTTATAAGTATGATAATAACAAGATTTCTGATTTATTGATCTCAAAAAAAATAATATTTAGTAACTTGAAAATATTTATTTTTTAATTTTATATTAAGTTATTTTTAGATTTTGCTAAAAAAAATAAATACAATATATATTTAATTTTTATAACTAGAAGATAATAACTCTAAATTTTTTTATAATACTATATGATATATTTTTGTGCACTTTCAGAAATTAATAAATTTAGAGAGCAAGTAGGCAAGATAAGTTTAATAACAAGATTGAATATATTATAATTAAAAAGTTTTTTTATTATTTATTCTAAAGATTTTCTTTAGTAATTTTTATATAAATTTATCTTTGTAGATATTTATTATTTTATTTGAAAAAAGTGATTCTCAATAACTTTAAATTAAATTACAAAAAGAATTCAAGAAGATTTCTAATTATCTATAACATAATAATTCATATCACAAAGTTATTTTTATAGTAATAATCCAGATTATTTTAGCTAATCAAAAATTATAAATATTCAAATTAATTAATAATATTAAAAATAAATTATAAATTATTTTGAATGAAAGTTATTTACTACTTATATATAAGTTTTGAAAGATAACTAAGATAAAACTTCATATTTTTCTTCAATTTCAGATTTAATTATAGCTAATAATGGTATTAGACCTAAAAATTTTCATTATTATTTGAATTATATAGTTTTAATAATAAGATATAAAAGATAAAATATATTTTTATATTTAATAATAAATTTAATTTATATATAATAGATAAAATAAAATTAATAATAGTAAAAAATTTAATATATTACAGTATAAGTTTCTTACTAAAATATTACTTATTTATAAGATTAATTATATTATATTAATAATAAAACTTAATCTTTAATCTTAAATTCTTGATAATAATGATATTAATTTATATATTTTAATTAATAATTTTGAGCTTTTATTAATATTTTTAATAATGTTAGTTTAAATTAAACAAATTTATTAATAATTATTATTTTATTATCTATTATAAATATTATAATTCAAAATAGTATTAGCTATAATCTAGTTTAAATAATATATTATTTGATAAAATTATCAGTTAAATAGAATTATATATATATAAAAAGTACTTTTAATAATTATATATACTATTAAACTTTAAAAAAGAATAAAAATTTATTATAATCACTAATTATATCTTTTTAAATTCAATATAATCTTTTAAAAGATAAGTTTAATAATTAGAAATCTTGTAAATAAGAAATTTTAAAATTATATATAAATTTAAAAAAGATAATATTATAATAAATATATTCTAATATCAATTATATTTATTAAATATTATCATAATTATTATTAATTTTATTAGTTAATTTAGAAATATAAAAAAGTAACTATTTCAAGATTTTATAAAATTTTAAAAGTATAATATTTAAATAAAAAGTTAGAATTTATTATTTTAAATTAAAAGAAGAATTAATTTATTTGAAAAATATTAATTATATAGTAATTTCAGATGTCAAAATATTGAAAACAAGAATTTTATTTGAATTAAGAAGACTTATATAATTATTTCTTAATAATTCTATTAATTAAAGATAAATAAAAATATTTATAAAATATATTATTAATTATAAACTTTATCAGTTTAATTAAAGTAATAATTAGTTACTTTCTGAATTACTTTAATCTTTTATTAAATTATAATATAGATAAAAATAAGTTATAAACTTTATTATTTAACTTTCTATTATCAAGTCTAAATATAATATAATAATAGCTTTATAGATAAATTTTTAAAGTAAATATATTTTATATAATATATATATATAAAATTATATTTAATATTTTATATTTTCTTATTAAAAAGTATAATTTTGATAATAAATTTAATAGATTTATATTATTCTTAGAATTGGCTCTTGAATAATTTTGAATAATTTAGATAAAGATTTATTTGTAATTTAATTATACAAATATTTACTATATATTTCCAAATATAAGTAACCAAAAAATACAAGATTTTGACAGAACTAAGAGAGGGAATTACTTATATTTGAGTATAAATTTATATATTTTATATAGAATCTCAGATCTTAAAAAGAGATAATTGCTTATATTTGGAAGTTACTTATATTAGAAATTACTTATATTTGGAGATATACAGTAAACAATATATTTGAACTGATCTAGTAATTAATTTTAATTATTATTTATTATTATTTTAAATAATAAAAAAGAATATAAAGTAAAAAATATTTTTAATAAGTATATTTACTATCATAAATCTCAATATTTTATTAATAACTAGATTATTTTTTTATAATATTATTTGAGAATCTCTTAAAAATCTGAAAAATATATAAAAAAGTTAATATATTTGAAAAGTCTTTCTTATTCATAATTTATTTAAAAAGATACTAAAATAATAATAAATCACATTCTATAAATATTTAATAAAATTTAAATTAAAAGATTATGATAGTTAATTCAAAACTTGAACTTGATTATTTCTAGATTGCCATTTTATTGAAATTATTATATATTTAAGATCACTATCTTGCTAAAAAATAATATTTATAATAATAAATTCATAATCTCTAATAATATTTATAAGATTTTCATAAAGTATTTGTTAATATAATTCAATAATTATAATATTATAAAACTTACAAAAGTTATTAATATCTAGAATATAAAGTAATTTCAAATTATATCTTAACTTTATTATAAATTTAATATAAAACTAATTTAATAGCACTTTTAAATATTTTTAATAATAATATTTCTTATATATGTGTATTATTTAGCATTATTCTAAAGTACAGCTCTTTTTTTTGCTTATTTACCTTTGGAATAGTTTCGAATCTTTTGAATATTTTTCTTTTCATTTTTTCTTCTCTGACTAGTGGTAAAGTATACTTATCATATTTTATTTAATATATATATATATATCAAGTGATAGATTTCTTAAACTTTTATGTAAAGAGATTTTTTGTTTGACCAAAAAGTCAAGGAATAATGAGGTGATGCATACATGAAAGATAAATTGTGCTTGACCACAAAATAATAATTATCTTGTCATTAAGCATACTTTATCTCTTGTTTATGTTCTGAAATTGGAAATAAATCTTGGTTTAAAAACCTAGATGTAAAAATAAAAATGCTTGAAGATTATAATTGAAAATTCACAATGGTAAATTATTGATATCAATTTTATTCCAATACTTTGAAGAAACCCTGAACCATTAGAAAAGATGCTTGATTAAGAAACTTTAACTTAGTCAGAATACCTTACCTTTTTTAGTCAAAGATTAAATATAACCATTTTAATTTAGGGAATAAAAATTTTATGTTTTTCCTAAAGTTAGTCACATGATTGTGGAATCAGTCCATGAAAATATGGTTTTTAGCATTGGAGACAATAAAATACTAATTTAGATAATATCATACGAATTAGATTAAATTTATACTTAATATTCTATCAATTTATTTAATACAGTACTTAATATTTCACTAATCAAACAACTGGGTTCATTAAGGTTCTATGCATATTACTACTATAATACTGGAAAAAACATAAAGTACTGTATTATGAGTAAAGGATCAAAAGGGGACAAAGGTATGGAACACCATCTTTTTGTGCACTTTATAAAATCACGAAATTAATACATTAGTGTGTTTTGTAGATTGATTTTAGCCTTAAAAATATCACCATCTTCATTTTTTATCATCGTTGTCATTTTTTTAACAACAACGATAAGATTCATAAGGACTATAGAATGAAGAAAATATAATTTAAGGCGGATGCCCTTAATTAATTTGATCAATTAAATTAAAAATTGATGATAAAAAAACGAGATTTAGGAGATTTAAGTGTGTGGGTGATGTAAAGAAAACGCGGGAATCGACTTTAAACTACATGTGTGTATTTTTTCACATCATGAGACGCTTTTTGGTAGCTACAGTTTCGTTTTTTAAATATTAAAGTTCAAGGTTGTGTGACTATAAAAGGTTTATTACATGATAAAGAATTATATTTTTTCCTGTTGAATTCCGATGGATCTATACTAGTATATGTATTGACGATTATCTTATCCTTTTAGATATAATCTGTACTATATTAATATGTAAAAGTACGCCAAAGGTCTTATCGTTATTATAAGTCTGATATTAATGTAATATTACGCTGAAACATTTACATGTATAAATTACGTGTTGTGTCTTTCAATTCCCCTATTTTATAGCATCGGTCCGATTATATCGATATAAAATGTACATGTACTTTAACTTACCTAACACCACATATCGATATCTGACTTGCCTAACACCACATATCGATATCTGCAATGCACATTCGGAAAAAAAATACATGTATAGTAAATTCACGCTAATTTCACATGGTCCAGTCAGGCATTTCATGACATGTAATATGATAATGACTAACGCTAATGTGATCGAAAATTAATGCGACTACAAACAATTGGGTACTGTACATGTAGATTACTGTACAATATTGCACAATACATTATTGGTGTTCGTTATGCATGTATCGTAACTGAATGCATGTACATTTAAATGTATATTTTTAATCACGATCAGATTTCTTTTTTTTAAAAAAAGAATTTGTTTTATTAAAGTAATTATTTTTGGTTTTTTTTAATTTTTAATTGCTTAATTTTTGTTATAACCATTCGATATAAATTTTTGAAGATTATAATACAAACTACTTACAATCAATAAGAATTAATATTGCAAATAAAAAGTCATCTGGAGATATGCTACGTACTCTCGCTCTCGATGTAACGAATATACATGTATTGGATTTATTATTGCTATAAAGTGAGGTTGCATAAGAGGGAGTGCGACTGATTACATGTAGTATTGTGTGTGTGTAACTGTACAACAATATCATCGATATCGATACCATCACTATACATGTAGGCCATCACTATACATGTAGGTAGACAAAAATTTGGAATTTCCACCTCATTCAGGCATTTTATGTAATGTGAGCAAAATTTGTGTATAATTAGACAGAAAATTAATGCGATTATAGTGCGTTTATGACAATTACGAGTGCATTTATTTCGTGAGTCTACTGCAGAAGAGACGAAAGACCTACTGGAAGAGGTCTCATAATATAATATTTGAATAATAGTTTTATCTAAGGAATAATGTCAAAATATCATGATGTCAAGTCGTATGAACTGGACTGGTATTTTGATCAGAATTCCAGATTCTCATATTTATCTGCGACATCTAACATTTCGGATTTTATTATTTAATTCAATTATGAAAAGCTTTTTTAGAGTTAGTAAAAAAATCATAAAAATGATAGAATTTACGAGTCATCTCTACGATTTCATAAAAATAACACCAAATAAAATTTTAAATGATAGAATTATTAGAATTGTGAATAATTGTATTATTACAATTAAATAAATTTTCCATTTTGTAATAAACAAAGTTATAAGCTGCAAATTATTAAACTTAAATTTTCTTATGAGCGCAAACACGATATTGATCAAATTGAGTAGAATATTTTTCTGCCTCAATAGATACCGTTTCTACAAGAGCATCATAATGTTCGGGTATTACATTCATCCAAGCTGATAAACCAGCTCTAGAAGAGGTGAGACCACTAGTAAAGAATCTAAGAGTCTTTGAATGAAGCAAGTAAAAAATGAGTATGTATGTTAGAGAAAGCATAAAGCATTTTGTTTTTGTGAACAATTCGTTAAGTACCTCTTCCGAAGATTTACCATGTTTTTTACCAAGTTTTATAATTTTATGTTGATTTCTGATTTCTGAAAACGCATTTGTGCGTTCGAGCATGCGAGGAACTTCTTTTCCAATATTAGCGTACAATCCCCTCGATTTCATGAAATCATGGACTGAAAAAATAAAACTCAAACAAATAAAACCTATTATTTAATCAATGTAATGCCATAAACAATGCTTTACTTACGAGCTCTTGCAACTCTCTGTGTAACGCTTCCATTAGATATAATAATATCACCTTCTAGGAGCTCGATCCATCCATCTGGTCGAGCTAACCTTATAATTTCTGGAATAACTTTCTCTTCCCATTGTGATTCTGTATAAGCACCGACCAAGAATTTTTGATGAACTAAATCGAAAGACGAATCCTCACAGGGTATTCCATCCAACACATTGTATTGAATAAACTTCACATTTGGAGGAAGATTTTCTGTTGGAAGAATTGGTGATATGTCTATTCCTACGAACTTTGATTTAGGATATCGCTGTGCCATATCCTATTTCTACGAATTAATATATTAAAGTAATCATATTCAACCATATCTAATAGGAATAAAGATCCGTTTACCAAAATCCAAATTCCAGATCCGCATCTTTTTATTAAATTTTTAAAGAAATATAGCATCAAAATTCTGTTTATAGGAAAACAACGTACAAATACATACCCAATATCAATGACACGAGCTCCGTTGCTCAGCTTCTCTTCAACAGGTGAATTAAACAGTCCTCCCCAAATTTCCTTTATTGCTAAAAAAATTTGTGTATTATATCACTTTGTAATTATAAAACATTCTAAAATATGAGCGAATTTTTACCATCATGATATCTGCTTAAACGATAAGCCTCTTCATCATCATTTGCACCAAAATATGCTGATTCTGAAAGAGTATGATATCGTCTACCATTGATAAGACGGTAACCTATTGTTCCATTTTCCTCTTCAAAATAACGTTTCGAGCAACAACATCCCATTTTTTTAAGTTTTTAAAAGATTAGATCCTTCTCTTGAATACATGTACTTATCATTTTATATTACATGTACATGTTACATGTACCTACAATACACATAAATAAAAACGCATGTATGTACATCTATAATAAATCGTACATTATCGTTATTCGTTCTCCTAAATTCAATTAAATATTAGAATTCTTCTAGGTGATCACATTAGATCTTTCAAAAGCCATTATGTAAGCTTTGAATTCATTAGGTAGTGAAATGTGCCCATCATTTATTTAATGAATATTACTATTACAGGGCATGCCCATAATTTTTAACTCTGGTTGACTACATAAAACATTATGAAGCAGAATTTGTTTAATTCTCAAAAGATCCCATCATTGTGCAAAGAAAAATATTATTCTGCTTATATTTTAATATGAACACTGTAGCAAAAATCTTGTAATAACTCTTTTAAAGTAGATGCATTGGTTAAATAGCTATCGATCAAAAAATATGTACACGATATAACGGAAGCATCCGTTCTGAACTTCAATCCGCTACACCGAGTTTTATTAGTATCAAGCATCCGCTATATCGAGCTTCACTGTATATAATGATCATGAGAAATAACATTTATTAACCATGACTGTTTTTTTTATTAGAATTTTTGGGTATCGCTAAACTAATAAAGTAACGCATAAATCTTATGAAATTTTTTAACATTTGAATCTCTTAAAAACATTAAAACACGCTTTAACCAACTAATAAAATTACAGTATCAATATGTAAGCAAGGCTGTAAAAACGAATAGCAATTTTAAGTTAAAACCAACCGAAATGAAATCTAATCTAACAATAAAATAATCGGCTTTTTACATGGAAAATTAGATTATACTATATATTCCGTTATTTAACTCAAACGATAAGTACCTATAGTTTTGATTTCAAATTACATGTATTTCCTATGGCAAATGAGACAATAATTTAACAATAATTCTACTTATTATATTTATGTGTAGTATTACGGAACCATACTACATTTAATTAATTATTTTAAGGTTTAGTTACACATTACTCACAGGAATACAAAATCAAGAAATTCAGCAGCACTCCAGAATATTCCGTGATCACAAGATTTCTCATTGCGTCAACACTATTATTTTGTATGGGCATTTAGAACATCGGTTGATGATAATTATATGCTCGGTTAATGGCAGTTAGTGACTACGATACGTATGCATTTATATGTACGTATAGTATAGTTTTGCCCATCACTAATGTTGCCTTGCAAAATTTTACTTGTAATATAAACATTAAAATTTCTTCCAAGAATTTTTTACAAAATTCTTTGTACTCCCCATATTTCGATTATCATCATATAAAAGTTCGTACGTTATTCTGAGATCCGTTGCATTTTCTCACAAAATACATATTTTGTATCGCACATAAATAATTCTACTTTATTTTTATTATATTCCTTTATCTTCATGTTCTTTTATAAGAATTCTTGTAAAAATTCATACTTTGTATTTTAGACCCGCGAATTCTGAATTGAATTACAATCTGTAACCTAGATGATTATACATGTATAATAATAACCAAGTTGTATATAAAGAATAGCTCTCGAAGGTCTGAGAGACAGACAATGCATGGTATGAAGAAAAATAACTAAAGATTATTTTTAATTTTTACTTAATTATGTCTCGGATTCCATAACGAAATCGATAGCTTATTTCTTTTGTTGCTTAAAAAAATTGAGTGATTTTATCGATATTTGAATTTATTATTTGAGATTCTTTTGTTATTTTAGATGTTTATTCCTATTATTGTTTTGAAATAGCCATATAATTTGTCATTGTGTTGTATATTCTTTAATTGTATTAGCAAATTCTGTTACTTTAAATTTAATTATTATTTTAAACCTTACCTATTCCCCTGATTGCAGTGAACTAACTTCTGAATTGAGTGTGACAATGCTATTGATTGACGATTCTAGCAAAAAAATTTGGCTTCTCTAGTAGACGTTTGGCATTAGAAAATTCGATATTAATATCTTCACTTATTTAAGGTTTGCTGTATATATGTATTCGAGTTTTTACGAGTTGTTTGCCTGACAAATAACTTGATGTATTTTCGGTTAACAGCATCAAATGAGTAAAAACCAAAATTTCTGTACCTTTAATTTCCTTGCTCTAAATTAATAATTTTTAATTGCTGGTTGTTAATTTGAGTATTTCATCATTTTTAAGTTAAATTTAAAAAATTATAATTGATTAAATACCGTATTCTAGGTTTTAAAATAAATTTCATTTAGAACATTTTAACGAATATTTATTTCGTACATACTCTCAGTTTATGTCTACTGTATTTTAAAAATTCGTAAGGTAACGAAGAAAATTTTGTTAAATTATTTTTGCAAAATTTGAAATACTTCATAATCATCTACATTAAAATAACTCATTTCAAAAGAGCTCAACAGAGCGTGTTCATATGAAGATTTGTAACAATAGCCATTATTATATGGATTAAATAAATTTAAATCATGTCCATCACCAAAAGTTGGTCCATATGCTCCATGACAGTAAATACTATATCCATTATCTTTAATTTTACTTATAGATCCATTGGATTCATTCGAGTCAAATTGAAATAAAAAGCTATTTGGTGTCTTATAATATTTATCGACATCTGGCTTCCATTCCAATGGATTATATCCACCAATTATTTTTTCCGAATCTTTAATCTTAATCGCAATTACTGTGGGACCCACGTTATCACAAAGTCGATGAAAATCAGCTGCAGTTAATCCATCTCGACTACCTCGTAATAATAGTTTTAAATCAAATGATTGAGTTAATTTCGTATCTTGCGACTTTATCCATCCACTTATTTTATTAATTTGATTTCGAGTAAGTATTGTGGAGTTAGCAGCATTACTATTTGAATTTCGAATAGGATGTTTGTTGGCTTGAAGATCTTCGCTTCCTGGAACCAAATAATGATGCAATAAATCTTTGTATAGTTTTGCTGATAAGAGTTCCAAATAAGGCATTACTTTATTGTAAAAGTCAACAGAATTTATGTGGAAAAAACGGATTAACGGTAAACATTGGTTAAGCGCAAATTTTAATTGCCTAAATTCGTTTTGTGTCCATTTCTCCACGGGGCTCGTAAAATCAACATTCTCAGA